AGAATAAAATATTTATTATTCAAAACTTAAACACTTTGAAATAATTCAAATATTTTATTCTAAAAAGTTATATTTTTTGAAGAAATAAAATATATTATTTATTGCAATACCAATGGTAGAAAATATAAAATATATATTTTCAGAAGTATAACTTTGTGAACATATAAAATATATAAAATATAAAAATAAATGTACGACATAAATCAAATTATTTATTTACTATTTATTATGTAAAACAGCATCATAAGTAGCTATGAACTTTAATATTTTTTGTATAATTTATATTATATGTTACATTTATTTTTATTATGTTATTGCCATTAGATCATTGATTTACTTTAAAAACTACTTATTTCACAGTATTTATATTTTATACTTCATTTCTCATGCGTGAAAGCGATACTAATTTATTATTTGTAAACTGTGTATCTTGCTTTCATTTAAATATATATAATTAATAAATATAAAGTTGTTTACAATTTGCGAACCAATGAACTGTGATATTAACTAACACATAAAGTCGTTAGTTTCGGTTCTTCTCAAATGTTTTTCAACCTATATATGTATAAATGATTTTTAAAATTCTCTAATATTGTTTATGTTTACAAGGATGTAAGTTCGTGTTTGGAAATCGTTACTTTGATCTAACATTTTGAATTGAAAAGAATAAAGAGACCTTATTTGTATTTTTATTTGATTATTAACAGATTGATTTAATTTAAATCTGCATGTTTATTTATCATTCAAAAAGTTAGAAGAAGAAGAAGTTAGGTCATACAGCAATTTAACAAAATCATTAAACCAATACATATTTGTATCAACGATCGTAGGTAAGTTCAAAAAAATGCATAAACAAAAAACTATAACATTTGGAATATTTTAGAACTGTAAGCAAAGTAAAAACACAAATTCCCGTTATTAAATCCACATAATTTAAAGAAATGAATTGGAAAATAGTTTTTTAATTATCACAGTAACAATCCTCTTTAAAGTATTCTAATTGTTTTCTTTCTTGACGTAGACTGGCAATTAACAATGGCTAAAATCATTTTCGTGGTAATTTTTCTTATCTTTACAAATATTTTCGCTGATAATCCTGAATGCGAGAAAGAATCGTTTTGTGAATGCTGGACAAATAAAAATGATACACATGATTATTGCATTTCAATCAAAGGTGTGAAGTTTGCAATAATCGTGAAATCATGGTTACGTGGAGAGGTATATATACTTATTAGCTTTTCAATTTATTTATATTCAGTCAAATCTCATTCTAGACATGACTTGTTATATGTGATTTAATAAATAAAATTTATATTTTCTTTAAATACATAAAATTACAATTCAACAGATCACGTTTGAAAATGTTAGTTGGAAAGATTTTAATTTAACGAGAGATCAAGACAGCGATAAAATCGATTCTGTGAATTTCGAAAATTGCCTGTTACCAGAAGAAATTACATTAAAAGAAATTGTAACAAAAGTAGGAATAATAGAAATAAAAAGACTAAGCTTTCAATCTCATAAAAATCTTAGCAAAAGTCTACCAAAGAAACCTTTTCAAGGATTTTCAAGTGTGACCGAATTAGTTTTATCCTATAACGGTTTAACTAATATATCATCTGATTTCTTTACAATCTTTCCTAGTTTGAGATCTCTTGATTTGTCTCAAAATTCTCTTGTTTTAGACAAAAATACTTTTAAGGAAACTTTAAATCTTGAGAAACTTGATTTACATGGAAATGGAATAACAGAACTTCAATTTTATGTATTTAATGATCTACAGAATTTAAGAACTCTAAATCTTGAAAGAAATTTATTAAAAACACTTGATGACAGAATATTTGATAAATTAAATTCATTAAGATATTTGAACCTATCATCGAATTTGTTGTCGAGTTTACTGAAAAATATTTTTATAAATTTAGAGAAATTAGAAACAATTGATTTGTCAAATAATAATTTTTGGTATCTTCCAGCAGAATTGTTTACATTAAATAAAAATTTGAAAAAAATATTATTACAAGATAATAAAGATAAGTTAACATCATTGCATGATGTATTTATAACGGATTTAAAAAATCTTGAAGAAGTTCATATGAGAAACAGTAAATTAATGTTTATACCAGACAAATTTTTCACGGGTACAACATCTGTAAAATTCATCGATTGGAGTGAGAATTTTGTTGAAAATATAAGCGAAACGGTCTTCGTAGATGTATTTAATACTAAATATCTTAACATTAGTCACAATATTATAATGGACCTTACTGATTCAATTTTTCAATATTTTCAAAATTTAGAAGTACTCGACTTGTCTTTTAATCGCATATATCGCGTACAAAGGTAGATTATTATAAGATTTATAAAATATATACTTTTAATCTAATGGGTGTACAACTAAGCTTCCGCTATTTTTAATCCAAGTCATCTGTTTAAAAATCTCGGTAGCAAACTTGTATACCATGAATTGTTCTTGTAATATTAAATTTTTTTTAGAATGTTATTACATGGTTTGACATCGTTAAAAGAACTTAACATGGAAGGAAATAGTTTGATAACTATCCATTCTGAAGCATTTTCATCCAATGAACAACTATCCATCGCAAAGTTCTCCGATAATCGTCTACAGTTTAGTAATCCATTCAATATGTTGTCACCTTTTTATAATAATCATCTTCTAAAAGAATTGCATTTATCAAACAATAAAATTAATCATTTTTTTTCTGATTGGACTACGAATAAACTAGAGTTAGAATTATTGGATCTGCGTCACAACGACATAAGTACAATATCGGTGCATATCAAATTTTATTATTCATAAATACATTAAATATTATAATTGAAATGATTAAAAATGAATTTAATTTATTTCTATTGTTTTTTCTTTTATAGGCGATTTATTTTGTGTTTTCGTCGGATAAAGTTCTAGTAGATTTAAGATATAACAACATAAAAAGTATTTTACTAACTAATATCGAAAAGTTGGCACTATTTAATACTGAAAAACGTAAAGTTACTGTCCACGTTGAAAACAATCCCTTATTATGCGATTGTCACCTATATAACCTTTTGCGTTATTCTAACGGTGATATGCCCATTACTGTTTATAATTTCTTTGAAATTAGATTAGGAAACTTAACGTGTGTGAAACCTTATCTAAACGAATGGCTACAAATTAATCAGCTGGATTTTAAAACCTATCAGTGTCTCGAGDATGACTACTTTCAAGTTGTAGATAGGCATCCAAGTTTATGTACTTCTAAGATAAGACCGTATGATCAAACACGAATTATAGATTGTTCGAACAAATTGAAGCTTGAATTAAAAATCAACAACAATACAATAAATTCGAATGGAAATTATCCATTAATATTGAATTTCACGGGGAATTATTTAAGGGAAATACCATCACTTGATTATATAAAAACATTTAACATAACACACTTATTGTTATCTAATAATATGATTTTTGAAATATCGTTGGACAGACTACCAAAAAATATGAAAGTACGTAAATAACTTATTTTATTATTTTTTCTTTTCATTTATTTGTTATTTCATAATTGTCTCTTTTATCTTCTTCTACATTTTTAGGTATTAGAATTACATAATAATCATCTATTAAGCTTGAGTCACGAAGTAAGTAAATTCCTTGATGATGAAAATTACAAAAATATAACTTTGAGTGGGAATCCATTTGTATGTGATTGCAATGTTAGATTTTTACATGAATTTGTTTTGAATAACCGAGATTATTATGATGATATAAAAAATGTGAAGTGTCAAGGCTATAACACTACTTTAGATGATATAAGAGCTTATGATTTGTGTTTTTAAACTGATCAAAGTAACAATACGTCAAAAATGTAAAATAAAATAAAACAAAAATAATGGTTTCGGCTGAATGTTTAAAGAGATAAGTATTACATGTATAGCGATTTTTAGCAGAAAAATTTCTATGTTTTAGAAAATAAACTAAAACAATATAAACCGGTTAGTGTTTAGTATTGTCTTTATTAATGTTAAATTATAGAATTTTATTTATTGTCTTTTAATTATTTTTATATTTGAATCAATGAAGTTATGGAAAACGATAGTAGAAGCATTTTTTCATATATCAGAAAAATATGCCAATTAAAATGCTTTGCAAATATGAAAAAGACAGAAATTTTTTTGCACAAAAAAGAAGTAAAGATAAAAATAATTCAAGAAATATTAGTTAATAATTCTGGAAATATTATATTACAAATACTATATCAAATAGTAATTTATCTTATTAAAATTAATTATTAAAATTTATTGACTTTTAAATATAATTTTAATTAAATAATGGTACTAAAATAAGGTATATTTTTTTTCTTCAAAATATTTCTTTTGACAGAGTAAAATATTTCTTTTTAAAAACTTAAACACTTTTAAAGAATTTAAATATTTTATTCTAAAAAGTTATATTTTTTGAAGAAATAAAATATATTATTTTCAGAAGTATAACTTTTTAAATATATAAAATATAAAAATAAATGTACGACATAAATCAAATTATTTATTTACTATTTATTATGTAAAACAGCATCATAAGTAGCTACGAACTTTATTATTTTTTTTATAATTTATATTATATGTTACATTTATTTTTATTGTGTAGAAAATTCGTATGTATTATAAAAAAGATAATTATTGCTTTATTCATATTGGATCATTGATTTATTTTAAAAACTACTTATTTCACAATATTTATATATTACATTTCATTTCTCATGCGTGAAAGCGATAATAATTTATTATTTGTAAACTATGTATCTTGCTTTCATTTAAATATATATAATTAATAAATTAAAAGTTGTTTACAATTTTTGAACCAATGAATAGTGTTATTAACTAACAGATAAAGTCGTTAGCTTCGGTTTTTCTTAAAATGTTTTTCCACCTATATATGTATAAGTTATTTTTCAAATTCTCTAATATTATTTATGTTTACAAGGAAATAAGTTCGTGTTTGGAAATCGTTACTTTGACCTAACATTTTGAATTGGAAAGAATAAAGAGAACTTATTTGTATTTTAATTTGATTATGGAAAGATTGATTTAATTCAACTCTGCATGTTTATTTATCATCCAAAAAGTTAGAAGAAGAAGCTACATCATACAGCAATTTAATAAAATCATTAAACCAATACATTTTTGTATCAACGATCGTAGGTATGTTCATAAAAATGCATAAACAAAAAAAGTAGAACATTTGGAATATATTAAAACTATAAGCAAAGGTAAATCACAAATTCCTGTTATTAAATCCACATACCTTAAAAAAATGAATTGGAAAATTGTTTTTTAATTATTACTAACAATCATAACTATGAAAGTGGTCAAAGTAATATATCTCTTGTTTCGAAATATTTAAAGATTTATACTTGAACTCTATATGAATGTTACACAATATTGAAATAACAAAAATTATCTAACGATTCATTTTTGATAATATCTTATAAATTACATTGAATTTATTTGGTTTATAATAATGTAGTGCGTTATAAATGATAAACTGATTTTTTATTAATTTTGACTTACCACTTTCATAATTATGGGCACAAGTATTCTAATTGTTTTTTTTCTTTACCAGTGGACTGGTAACAAGCAATGGCTACGATTATTTTCTGGGTATTTTTTCTTATCTTTACAAATATTTTCGCTGATGATAATCCTAAATGCGAGAAGAAATCGTATTGTGAATGTTCGAAATATAACCCTAGTGATCCAAATATTGTTAACGTTTACAAAAAAAATGTGACGTTTACAATAAAAGTGAAATCATGGTCATATTTACAGGTATATATATATATATATTCAGTTAAATAGAGATTTTATTCTTCAAATGATATGTTATTTATGATTTAATAAATAAAATTTGTATTTTTATTAAATACACAAAATTATAATTCAACAGATTGAGTGTAAAAATATTAGTAGGAATGATTTTAATTTAATGAAAGGAAATTTCGGAAAAATAGTCGACTCGGTGGAGTTTAAAAATTGCCCAATACCAAAAAATAGTACATTCAAAGGCATTGTCGAAAATTTAGGAATTAATGAAACAAATGGACTAAGCTTTCAATCATATAAGGATATTAGCAAAAAACTAAGATTAAAGCATTTTCGAGGATTTTCAAATGTGACCAAATTAGTTTTATCCTATAATGGTTTAACTTATATGTCATCTAGTTTGTTTAAAAAATTGTCTAAATTAGAATTCCTTGATTTATCAGAAAATTTTCTTGTCTTAAGCAAAGAAAGTTTCAATAATGCTTCACATCTTAAGTATCTTGATTTAAATGGAAATGGAATAACAGAGCTCGACACTGATACATTTGATAATATACAGAATTTAGAAAGTTTAAATTTTGAAAGAAATTTATTGCTAAAAGTTAATAATGGAAGCTTTGACAAATTATCATCATTACAAAATTTAAACTTAAAATCAAATTTATTGTCGAGTTTACCGGAAACAATTTTTCATAAATTAGAAAATTTAGAAACAATTGATTTGTCAAATAATAATTTCAGTAGCGTTCCATTACAATTGTTTAATCAAAATAAAAAATTAAAAAAAATATTATTACATCATAATAGAGTAAATTTAACAACATTGCCGAATCAATTTTTCACGGATTTACTAAATCTCGAAGAAGTTCAATTGAGAAAAAATGGATTGAAGTATATACCGGAAAATCTTTTCTGGGGTTCAACATCTTTAAAATACATCGATTTGAGTGACAATTTTCTTCAAGAATTAACCGAATTTGTCTTTCTAGATGTATTTAATACTGAATATCTTTTCTTAAGTCACAATATGTTTAAGACGTTTCCAGATATAGTTTTTAAAAATTTACAAAAATTAAAACTACTCGACTTGTCTTTTAATCGTATTGGTTATTTTCAAAGGTAAATTATTCGAAAATTAATACAAGATTCATATTTAATCTAATAGTTGTACAACTGAGCATCCACCATTTTTTCTACAAATCTCGGAAACAAAGTTGTACAATCAAATATTGTTTTTCAAATATAAATATTTTTGTAGCACTCTGTTAGAAGGTTTGAAAACATTGACAGAACTCAACATGGAAGGAAATGGCTTGATATATATCGAAAAAGCAGCTTTTTTAACCAATCAAAAATTAACCATTGCTAAATTCTCAAATAATCAGCTGCAGTTTAGTTATTTAAATAAAATGACGTCACCTTTTTTTAATAATCGTCTTCTTAAGGAATTGCATTTAGCGAACAATCATATAAAACATTTCTTATCCGAATGGACTATAAATAAAGCAAAGTTAGAATTATTAGATCTGAGTTTTAACGACATAAATCAAATATCGGTAAATATCGGTAAATGATTAAATAGTATATTACATACTTAGGGTGGTAAAGTAAAAAATGTCTCAGAGCACATGTAATTGTTGTCCGAGACAAAGCTGAAGTCAACAAACATGTGCCCTGAGGCTTTCTTATTTACTGCCCAAAGTGTGTATACTTTGTTTTTGCTCGACGTAGGCGGAAAGCGGCAACTTCGTTTTGCACAGCAAGAGAAAAGCTCAAACTTTCCGTCTCAGACAACAATTACATGTGCTCTGAGACATTTCTTACTTTACCGCCCTAGGTATGTAATATGTATATTGTTTTATTTCTGTTACAGGCAAATAATTTTGTTTTTCCGTCGGATAAAGTTAAAGTTGATCTAAAATATAACAACATAAGTAACATTTGGTTAAATGACATCGATAAATTGTCAATGCATCATATCAAGAAACGTAAAGTTGTTATTCGTCTCACACACAATCCGATATTATGCGATTGTAATCTATATCATCTTTTGCGTTATGCTAACAAAGATATGCCCATTACTGTTTATAATTTCGTTAAACTTAGATTGGAAAACTTAAGGTGTGTTCATCCTGATGGAATACAAGGGCCACAAATTAATCAGCTGGATTTTAAAACCTACCAATGTCTCGAGGATGAATACTTTGGAATTGAAAAAAACTGTCAAGATAAGTGTACTTGTAATATAAGACCATATGATGCAACACGAGTTATAGATTGTTCGTACAAAAATATTTCTGCATTTCATATTGACAAGAATAAAATAAATATTATGGGAAAGTATCCATTAATATTGAATCTCACAGGAAATCATTTAAAGAAAATACGTTCACTTAAAGGTTTTGAATCAATTAATGTAACAGAATTATTGTTATCTAATAACAGGATTTCTGAATTATCGCTTAATACAGTACCAACAACTGTTAAAGTACGTAAATTTCTTATTTTTTCTTTTTTTTGTTCATTAGGGTTATTTCATAATTTTTTCTATTATCTTCTTTGACATTTTTAGGTATTAGAATTACATAATAATAATATAACAAGATTGGATTACAACCTAAGTGACTTCTTGTTTCATCAAGACTTCAAAGTATTTACTTTAAGTGGGAATCCATTTATATGTGATTGCGATGCTGAATTTTTATACAGATTAGTTTTAGAAAAGCAACATTCTTATACAGATTTAAAAAATGTGAAATGTAAGGACAATAATATTCCTTTACTTAGTATGACCTATGAACAATTGTGTCCATCAATGGTTCTCCATTAAAAATTTGTCAAAAATGTAGAATTAAATGAAATGGACATAAAGGTTTGGACAGATTTAACAGAAGACATTTTTATTACATAAATATTGTTTTAAACAACATACTAAAACAATATAAACTGAATCAGTGTTTAGTATTGTCATTTTTAATGTTAAATTATGTAATTATATTTATTTTCTTTTAATTATTATTTATAATACACATTTATATTTGAATCAATGTTGTTAGGAAAAACGATGGTAAAAGCATTTTCTCATATATCAGGAAAATATGCCAAATAAAATGCTTTGCGAATATGAAAAAGAAAGAAATGTTTTTGCACAAATAAGAATTAAAGATAAAAATAATGTAGAAAGTGTTAGTTAATATTTCTGAAAATAATATATCTCAAATATTATATCAAATAGTAATTTGATTGACTGAAATTAATTAATTAAATTTGTTAAATTTTAAATATTATTTTAATTAAATAATGGTACTAAAATAAGATATATTTTTTTTTCTTCAAAATATTACTTCTTGCAGAATGAAATATTTATTTTTAAAAACTTAATAAAAAAGTCAAATATTTTATTCTAAAAAGTTTTACTCTTTGAAGAAATAAAATATGTTATTTTTTGTAATAACATTTGTAGACAAGAACAAATATATTATCTTCATAAATATAACTTTCTAAACATATAAAATATATTATTTGTAAAAGAATAAATGTATGACACAAATCAAGTTATTTATTTACTATTTATTATGTAAGACAGCATTATAAGTAGCTTTGAACTTCGATAGTTTCTTCAAGAATTAATATCGTATGTTACATTTACTTTCATTGTGTATTACATTTTATTTTATATACGTGAAAGTGATAATAATTTATTATTTGTATACTGTGTATCTTATTCTGATTTAAATATATTTGATTTTTAAATAAAAAATTGTTTACAATTTGCGAACCAATGAACTGTGATATTAACTAACACATAAAGTCGTTAGTTTCGGTTCTCTTCAAATGTTTTTCAACCTATATATGTAGAAATCATATCCCTAATTCTGTAACATTGATTGTGTTTACAAAGAAATATGTAAGTGTTTGAAAAATCGTTACTTTGACCTAACATTTTGAATAGAAAAGTATAAAGAGACCTTATTTGTATTTTAATTTATCTATTGCAAGATTATTGTGTATGTTTCTTATCATTCCAAAAGTAAGGTAAGGTACATAAAAACGTGCAAAGATAAAAGAAAAACGAATTATCATATTTTTCCTAACTAATCTCTTTTGTGAAGTAGATTGATAACCAACAATGGGTACGATCATTTTCGTGGTAATTTTTCTTATCTTTACAAATATTGTCGCTGATAATCCTGAATGCGAGAAAGAATCGTTTTGTGAATGCTCGAAAAATGAAAATAATACATATGCTTATTACGTTTCAAACAAAGGTGTGAAGTTTGGAATAAACGTGAAATCATTCTTAACAAGTCAGGTATATATTCTCAGTAGCTTTTCCATTTATTTATATTCAGTCAAATCTCATTCTAGAGATGATATGTTATATGTGATTTAATAAATAAAATCTATATTTTCTTTAAATAAATAAAATTATAATTCAACAGATCAAGTGTGAAAATGTTAGTTGGAAAGATTTTGATTTTACGAAAGAACAAAACATCTATAAAGTCGATTCAGTTGATTTTGAAAATTGCCTGTTACCAGAAGAAACTACATTAAAAGATATTGTAAATAAATTAGGAATGATTGAAATACATAGACTAAGCTTTCAATCTCATAAAAATCTTAGCAAAAGTCTAACAACGGAACATTTTCAAGGATTTTCAAATGTGATCGAATTAGTTTTATCCTATAACGGTTTAACTAATATACCATCTGATTTCTTTATAATTTTTCCTTATCTAACATCTCTTGATTTGTCTGAAAATTCTCTTGTTTTAAGCCAAAATACTTTTAATATAGCTTGGAATCTTCAGAAACTTGATTTACATGGAAATGGAATAACAGAACTTCCCTTTGGTATATTTCATGATCTACAGAATTTAAGAATTCTAAATCTTGAAAAAAATTCATTAAAAACACTTGAGGAGGGAATATTTGATAAATTATATTTTTTAAAATATTTAAACCTATCATCAAATTTGTTGTCGAGTTTACTGAAAAATACTTTTAAAAATTTAATGATATTAGACACAATTGATTTGTCAAATAATAATTTTTGGTATCTTCCATCAGAATTGTTTACTTCAAATAAAAATTTGAAAAAAATAATAATACAAGATAATAAAGAAAATTTAACATCATTGCATGATGTATTTATAACGGATTTAAAAAATCTTGAAGAAGTTCATATGAGAAACAATAAATTAAAGTTTATACCAGACAAATTTTTCACGGGTACAACATCTGTAAAATTCATCGATTGGAGTGAGAATATTTTTGAAGAAATAAAAGAAACGACCTTTGTAGATGTATTTAATACTATATATCTTAACATTAGTCATAATAGGATAAAGGAGCTTCCTGATTTAGTTTTTCAATATTTTCAAAATTTAGAAGTACTCGACTTGTCTTATAATCGTCTTGATAACATACAAAGGTAGACTATTATAAAATATATAAAATATATACTTTTAATCTAATAGGTGTACGACTAAGCTTCCGTTATTTTTTATCCAAGTCATCTGAATAAAAATCTCGGAAGCAAGGTTGTACACCAAATATTGTTCTTCAAATATAAATATTTTTTGTAGGAAACTATTTTACGGTTTGACATCGTTAAAAGAACTTAACATGGAAGGAAATATTTTGTATCATATCCATAGTGAAGCATTTTCAACCAATGAACAACTATCCGTCGCTAAGTTCTCAGATAATCATCTAGATTTTGATACTACATTGAATATGATGTCACCTTTTTTTAATAATCATCTTCTTAAAGAGTTGCATTTATCGAACAATACAATTAAACATTTTTATTCTGATTGGACTACAAATAAACTAGAGTTAGAATTATTGGATTTACGTCACAATGACATAAGTACAATATCGGTGCATATCAAATTTTACTATCCACAAATACATTAAATATTATAATTGTAGTGATTTAAAATGAATTTATTTTATTTATATTGTTTTTTTCTTTTATAGGCGAATTATTTTGTTTTTTCGTCGGATAACTTGTTAGTAGATCTAAGATATAACAACATAAAAAATATTTTATTAGCTAATATCGAAAAACTGGCACTATATAATACTGAAAAACGTAATGTTACTGTCCACGTTGAAAACAATCCCTTAATATGCGATTGTCACCTATATAACCTTGTGCGTTATTCTAACGGTGATATGCCCGTTACTGTTTATAATTTGTTTGAACTTAGATTTGGAAACTTAACGTGTGTTTATCCTGATGGAATACAAAAGGCACAAATTAATCAGCTGGATTTTCAAACCTACCATTGTCTCGAGAAAGACTACTTTAAAATTGTAGATAAGCATCCAAATTTATGTACTTCTAACATAAGACCGTATGATAAAAGACGAGTTATAGATTGTTCGTACAAATTGATGTTTGAATTAAAAATCAACAAGAATACAATAAATTTGAAGGGAAATTATCCATTAATATTGAATCTCACAGGGAATTATTTAAGGGAAATACCATCACTTCATTATTTAAAACCACTTAACTCAGTACATTTATTGTTATCTAACAACGAGATTTCTAAAATATCGTTGGACAGATTAACAAATAATATTCAAGTATGTAATTAACTTATTTTATTATTTTTTTTTTTTTTTATTCATTTGAATTATTTCATAGCTTTCTCTTTTATCTTCTTCTATATTTTTAGGTATTAGAATTACATAATAATCATCTAGTAAAGTTGAATTACGACATAATTTTCTACTGGTATGTTCATAGTTACAAAAAATTAACTTTGAGCGGGAATCCATTTAAATGTGATTGCGATGCTACAGTGTTCATTAAATTTGTTTTGAATACCCAAGATTCTTATGAGGATCTAAAAAATGTGAAGTGTCAAGGCTACGTCACTCCTCTAGCTAAAATGAGCGATTATGATTATTTGATTCTATGTTTTAAAAAATATACTGAAAAAATAATATAAACCGGTTAGTGTTTAGTATTGTCATTTGTAATGTTAAATTATAGAATTATATTTAATGTCTTTTAATTATTATTACATATAAATCAATGATGTTATGAAAAATGATAATAGAAACATGTTTTTCACATATCAGGAAAATTTGTCAGCTATTATCTTTGTAACGTGGGTTAATGTCTTAAAAAAAAAAAAAAGAGAATTTCATAAGCACTAGAATAATTTGCGAATATGAAAAAGGTAGCTATGTTTTTGCATAAATCAAAAGTAAAGATAAAAATAATGCAAGAAGTATTATAGTTAATATTTCTGAAAATATTATATCTCAAATGCTATATCAAATGTTTATTTAATTTATTAAAATTAATAAATTAAATTTATTGACTATTAAATATAATTTCAATTAAATAATGGTACTAATCAAATATATTTTTTTTTTTCTTCAAAATATTACTTCTGGCAGAATAAAATATTTATTTTTAAAAACTTAAACACTTTTAAAAAATTTAAATATTTCATTCTGATAAGTAATATTTTTTGCAAAAATAGAAAATATTATTTTTTGTAATAACACTCATAGAAATAATAAAATATATTATTTTCAGAAGTATAACCTTTTTAATATATAAAATATATTATTTATAAAAATAAATGTATGGGACAAATCAAATTATTTATTTACTATTTATTATGTAAAACAGCATCATAAGTAGCTATGAACTTCAATATTTTTTATAATTTGTATTATATGTTACATTTATTTTTATTGTGTTGAGAATTCGTATGTATTATAAAAAAGATAATTATTGCGTTATTCATATCGGATCATTGATTTACTTTAAAAATTACTCATTTCACAATAGTTTTATTAAACTGAATTCCTATAATTATTTCCAAAAACACTGTCATTCTTTTCTTTATTAATTTTCTTCCCGAATTTTTTATGTATTTTAAATTATTCCATAACTTATTTGTCTGTTCAATTATATTTTGCATTTTATTTTTCATGCGTGAAAGCGATAGTAATTTATTATTTGTATACTGTGTATCTTCATTTGATTTAAATATATATGATTTATAAATAAACAATTGTTTACAATTTGCGAACCAATGAACTGTGATATTAACTAACACATAAGGTCGTTAGTTTCGGTTCTCTTCAAATGTTTATATCCCTAATTCTGTAACATTGATTGTGTTTACAAAGAAATATGTAAGTGTTTGAAAAATCGTTACTTTGACCTAACATTTTCAATTGAAAAGTACAAAGAGACCTTATTTGTATTTTAATTTATCTATTGCAAGATTATTGTGTATGTTTCTTATCATTCCAAAAGTAAGGTAAGGTACATAAAAACGTACAAAGATAAAAGAAAAAAGAATTAAAAGAAATTATCATACATTTCCTAATTAATCTCTTTTTTAAAGTGGACTGGTAACAAACAATGTCTACGATAACTATTGTGATATTTTTTCTTATCTTTACAAATATTTTCGCTATTAGTCCTAAATGCAAGAAGAAAACGTATTGTAAATGTGCGATGGATATAGTTAGCGACATAAGAGTTGTTATCAATACAAAAATAGGTGTGAGGTTTAGACTAAGAGTGAAAGCATGGTCAGGTTTACAGGTATTTATGCTTAGTAATTTTTCAATTGAAAAAGCTCAATTTTAGACATAATATTTTCTATGTGATTTAATAAATAAAAATTACAATTAAATAGATCGATTGTAAAGATATTGAATGGGAAGATTTTACTTTCAAGAGGAGATATGTTAGAGAAAAAGTCAATCTGGTGAATATTAGAAATTGTTCATTACCAGAAGAGGAAACTTCATTAAAAGATGTTCTCGAAACGATAGGAATTTATGGTACAAATGAACTAATCTTTCAATCTCATAAACATTATGGCAAACGAATAAAAAAAGAGCCACTTAAAGGATTGTTAAATGTGACCAAATTAACTTTATCCTTTAACGATGTAACCGAAGTACCATATCATTTTTTTAACAATTGTACTAAATTGGAGTACATTGATTTATCTGAAAATCCATTTCCTTTAAGCACATATTTGTTTCAAGATACTTACAATCTTAGAGAACTTTATTTAAATGGAAATGAATTAACAGAGCTTCCTCCGAATGTATTCGATAATTTACAGTATTTAGAAATTTTAAGTATTGAAAGAAATTTAATGGAACATCTTAATGAGAAAATATTTATCAAATTATATTCATTAAAATATTTAAGTCTAGCGTCAAATTTGTTGATGGATTTGCCGGAAAAAATTTTTTACAATTTAAAGAAAATAGAAATAATTAATTTGGCTAGTAATTATTTCAAAAGTCTTTCATCAAAATTATTTTCTCAAAATAAAAAATTGCAAAAAGTATTATTAAACGATAATAAAGCAAATTTAACAACACTGCCGAATCAATTTTTAACATATTTACAAAAGCTTGAAGAAGTTCATACGAGAAAAAATGAATTGAAGTCTATACCAGAAAATATTTTCTGGTATTCCGAATCATTAAAATACATCGATTTGAGTGAAAATTATCTTGAAACATTACCCAAATTTATCTTTCTAGAATTAACAGGTATTGAATATATCTCTTTAAGTCACAATATGATTGAGACGTTTCCTGTTGCAATTTTTCAATATTTACAAAAATTATTAGTACTCGACTTGTCTTTTAATCGTATGGGTTATGTACCAAGGTAGATTATTCAAAAATTAATAAAAGATTTATTATAAAACTAATAAATGTACACAAAATATTGTTTTTTTTGTTTTGTTTTTTAAATATAAATATTTTTCAGTAATCTGTTCGAAGATTTGATATCGTTAAAAGAACTTAACATGGAAGGAAATCTTTTAAAATATGTCGAAAAAGGTGCATTTTTTACCAATAAAGCACTAACCATTGCTAAATTCTCAAATAATCTTTTAGAGTTCAATTATACAAATGATGAAATGTCGTCACCCTTTTATCATAATTATCGTCTTAAGGAATTGTATTTATCGAATAATCGAATAAAACATATTTTTACCGATTGGTCTTTAAATAAAAAATATTTACAATTGTTAGATCTGAGTTACAACAACATAAGTACAGTATCGGTAAATATATATATATATATACAATATGTTCAATATTATTAGGTCGAGTCATAAATAACTGCCATTAATAAATGCAGGACACTTTTCATGGACTTATTTTGTACTCTTTGTATCTGTTAAACGTGTATCTATTGAATTTTGTTTCAATATTACCTTTAAAAGGTTCATCAAAGTTGGAAAAACGTCCTGCACTCGGTTCATCTTTTAAGATCGTATCTCCAGAACAGAATTTTACAAACCAATTTCTGACTGACCCTATCAATTATCAATCCTGCACTGTATACTCTGTATATTTTGTCAGCTGCCACTTTAGTGCTATTGCCTTGTTTCAATTTCTAAAACATTACATGTCGAATATGCACTTTTTACTATTCATTTCAGTTGTTAAGAAAAATGGTTAAATGTAACATTGACTACATAAAAAAAAAGTTGACAGAAGACTAACTGAATTCTCATCTATACAGTGATATCAAAAATTCGTTTGTTTTGATGACTTATAATAGGAAATTACTTATGACTCGACCTAATATTATTTCAATGATTCAAAATCAATTTGTTGTTATATTTCTATATTTTATTTATTTTTTTTTTTTTTTTATAGGCGAATCAGTTAATTTTTTCGTTTGATGAAGTTTTAGTCGATCTAAGATATAACAAAATAAGTAATATTTTTCTAAATGATATTGAAAGATTGGCAATGCATAATACCAAGAAACGTAAAGTTGTTGTTCACGTCGATTACAATCCATTATTATGCAATTGTAATCTTTATAAATTTTTGCGTTATAAGAAAAATGATATGCCCTTTACTGTTTATAATTTCTTTAAAATTAAATTGGGAAAATTAAGGTGTCTTCAATCAAACGGAACAGAAGGGCCACAAATTAAACAGCTAGATTTTAAAACCTATCAATGTCTCGAGGATGATTACTTTAAAATTGAAAAATATTGTCCAATTAATTGTACTTGTTATATAAGACCTTATGACAAAACACGAATTTACGATTGTTCGTATAAAAATCTAACTGTATTCTATGTCGACAAAATGAAAATTAATTTTTTAAAAAGGTATCCATTAATATTGAATCTCACTGGGAATTACTTAACGGAGTTACCAAATATTGATACTTTAATGCCAATAAACATAACAGATTTATTATTATCTAATAACAACATTTCTGAAGTATCGTTGACCAAATTACCAAGAAGTCTTAGAGTAAGTAATTTCTTATTTTATAATTTTCTTTGTTTTTTATTCATTAGAGGTTTTTCATCATTTTTTCTATTATCTCTCTTTTTTTTTTTTTTTTGACGTTTTTAGGTATTAGAATTACATGATAATAATATATCGAGCTTGAATCGAATCGTTATTTTCTACTTGATGCGTCAATCTCTCACAAAACTTACTTTAAGCAGAAATCCTTTTATATGTAATTGCTATGCTAAACATTTACTTAAATTTGTTGTACTAATGCAATATTCTTATAAAGATTTAGAAAATGTTAAATGTAAGGACAAGCATGTTGCTTTACGTAATATGACCTCTATTGAGTTGTGTATACACACGTCAATAGTGTTGCGTAAAAAGAAACATACATAAAGGTTTAGGCAGAATATTTATATATATATATGTACAGCTAAATATTACAAGTATAATGATTTTTAGCAGAAGACATTATCATTTCATTGCAATCAAGTTTATGTTGTTTTAAAAAACATATTAAAACAATATAAACTAGATCAGTGTTTAGTATTGTCATTTTTATAATTATATTTATAATCTTTTAATTATTATTTATAATACACTTTTATATTTGAATCAATGATGTTATGAAAAAACGATAGTAGAAGCATGTTTTTCACATATCAGGAAAATTTGT